CATTTTCCAAGAACATTTATTTCATTATATAGTTATCTGTTTTTCAAAGTCAAAATTAAATTGTGAATTTCAGATTTGTGATCATCAATACAGTGAATTTATTAAAAGAAACAGAAACTTACCTGTTATATCATTTAGTGAACATATTGGACATAATCGAATTATTTTCAAAATACAACTATTAGTAATCAATATATACTTATAATCGAAATATTACTCGGAATTTTCAATTAATATAGTATTATCTATCACAGGAATAGTAATCGATATATTTTCATAATCATCATAGCACTCGAAACAATCACGCGACATTTTTAATCGGCGTTATGACCAGTGGTGGTTCCATCAATTTTGTAGAGAGTAGAATTAATGTTAGGGTGGTGTATGAATTACCATATGAATTACTTATTTATATAGTCGGAAATCATCGATAAATTAAGTAATATTGGTATTGTAGAATTTTGTTTTAGAAAGTAGTCGACAAATTTGTAAATTTATAACTAATTTATAATTTTTACCTATGCCCCGCATTAATATTTTTTTGCGCTGCCCTTAGTTGAGATTTTACTACCCTGATAGGAGTCTGAATTTGGATATTTTTATCATTTGGTCGGTAGTGGTAGTGGTACACGTGGTGGCGGTGGTGGTGGTAATGAATTGTAAATATTAACAACAAATTGAAAGGCAAACATTTTTATTTTGACATCAGTATAAATTAAAATTATTTAAATAAATTGATACCATCGTAAATACATAGTACATCATCAATGATCATTTTATAGCAATACACTAATCGTCTGAGGGAAAACTAAATGTTTGTAACAAAATAATGCCAAAATTAAAATTTGAATAACTAATTACGTTTAATACTTAGTAAACAATAGTATACCTATGAATTTTCAAAATAATATTGAGAATATACGGCGTATATGTAGTATATCCTATGGTTATACCCTATCATAATATGATATCACCATATTATGGTTCTATCACCACTGGTTATGACTCAAAATGGTATAATATTATAATAGTTATTAAGTTGTTTCTCGAAATAATCAACTGAAATAAAATAGTATTCTAACTTTAACCTGACTAAATAATATATATATAAGAATTAATAATACAACTATTTTTTACACATATAACAATAATTTTTCATATATAGTAACAAGTTTAATGATGAAAACAAATTTAAATTACTATTAAAAATATTATGTTATCAAGATTTTAATGAGTTAATCTGTTTGATCTGAACATTGTTCATTCAATTATTTACATTGATCGGAGTTTTAGATTTTGGATACTAAAAATAATGTTTTGAATAAGGTACCAATTCGAGGAGTCGAGTTGATGAGTACTCGATTTACTACAATTTAATTGAAAAATCACTCTGTTATAATATACCAAATTGATTTTTCATTTTATTACATTATAATCGATTATTATGTTTATAATTGAAATATCTTGTTTATTCTCAACAATCATGAAACTCCATTATTTTTACTCAATTATACCCATATTTAGTATCATTATAGCTTCGTTCCGTAGCAGCTGCTATAGTGTTCCCGACAAAAATGCGATTTCAAACGCAACAGTATCCATAGCATGTTTATTTCTAAACCAATCGCGATAAATTCCAGTACGTTTATCACGTATACATATTAAATTATGATTCGGATCAATATTGATGTAATCGGATCTCGGTATTCCTTGTATTTTATTTCCTATTCTTGAACCGCGATCCGTTCGATTTTTATGGAAGTTTCGAATCGTTTGTAATACAGAAACTCCTATCTATGTTTAACGAGACATTCGTCCGAAGAAATATTCGCGTTCCGACCATTTTGAATACTTTTAGTAAAAAAAATTAACAGAATATATTTCACATATGTTGGATCAGAATTATATACCAATGGGTACATGGTTGGTATAATTAGTTTTTATTTAAAAAGGAAAACTTCAAAACAATATAGATAATTCGAAAAGATATTTAGTTTAATTTTCTAGGCGTACGGATTTCTTCGATGTAACACTATACACTTTTACTGTCTGTAAAACTGTACGTGGTATATATTAAAAAAAAAAATATATAAAAAATGCTCATGAATGAATATTTTAATTATTGATCGTATGATAAAATAAAACCTAAAGAAAATAATGTGTCCAAACAATACATGAGTGTTATCGTTACCGGCAGAATCATATTATTTGCAAAACTATGATTATGAACACTATTTCAATGTCGCAGCTGCATCTATCACGTATATATTATAATATCACATCGTGGGCATTTTTGAATGGAAAATATATTATAATAGTAAACGCGGTTTCTAGTCACTACTATTAATGAATGCAGTCGATATGCTGTGCGTAATGATGAAAAACGAAAACATAATTATAATAAACGATGAATTATCAATAAAATCCAAAAACGAAATCGAAAGAAGGTGTTTGTATTGTAGTGAGACACCTGAGGATGTCTCTATTATATTTGACACGTACGATGTATGCAACCCGAAACACAGCACTCGTAAATACTCGTAATAATATAACAGCGTATATATTAATCATGATCCAAAATTATAGATGGTATAGATATTTTGCACCGATTGTTGGCGTGTTGTGCTTCACAATTCAAACATTACCAACGATAAAATTATATCAACGAAAACAACAGTATAGATTACGCAGCTATATATTCAGTAGAAGTAAAACATTTGCGTTATAATCACATTATAGTTTTAAACGATCGAGTTAATAAAAAAATATTTTGTTCGGTAAAATGGTTAATCAATAATAGTCGTACATATATGAATAAATTATACACATAAGGAGAAAAATAATGCATTAATTATTCTATCGAAATAATTATGTGTATTATTCAGTACATTTACTAGTAAAAAATAAATATGTTTTTTTTTTTTATTAATAGCTTCTAGTATAAAACTATAAAACGTACATATGTCTTAATAAAATCAATATATTTTTCGTTTTATACTGAGTCTAAAAATAAATCGTAAATCATTTAAAAAAACTGCGCCGTAAATAAATAAGTTATGTTGTAAATCTCGAACTTTCATATTCACCTCGTGATAGATTAGATTAGTATTTTTTTTTTCGTATATAGATTTAATTAATACGTGTTTTAAGCCTTTTAGAGCAATCACACGTTTAAGCACTATTCAACTCGTTTTACAAACATCCACTAAGCGAAATGTTATACTATATAATTTCAAGTTTTTTTCTTCAGCTTTAGATTAGTATTAAAAAAAATATACCAAGTCATTCAAAAACCATTTTCTTCGATTGTATACACTGGAAACACATCTCTGATTTTATAAGACGATGTATAATAACTTTTTTGGTATAGTTTAATTCTCTAACGTTTTGACTAAGGAGGAGAAACTTTTCTGGGTAAATAAAATATTTTGTGTTCCTTTAATGATGGAAAAAACACTTATATTTATTATATTTTATTTTTTTAAATTGTATGTATATATCAAAAATTATTTTAAGTCAAAAATATTTAAACCTAAGAACGTGAAAGTATTTTTTTTTTTTTTTGATTTAACATTTAAAAATGTTCAATTGACTAATTAATATTTAACTATTTATAATTCAATGAAATGAATATCTGAAATTACACGATTTTTAATTTTATACATATGTTAACATCTGATTTATTATTTAAGTTAGAACTTTAGTTTCCATCTCAGCATTACTTTTGGTGATTTTTCGTTATAGTTTTTCCCTATTTATTTTGTGTATGCATTCGAAATTGAAAAAATAAATATCTATATCCAAAGGTAGTACAAGAATAAGTTATTATTTTCCGTGTAGAACAAACTGTATACAAATAATATTTTAGTGATTCACCACAACGATTTCAATGCGATTTGGTTTGCAGTTTCACTTCATTTACAATTCCATGTAGTAGCTGCCGTATTGTTAAACTCGTATATCGAATATTCATAATCGACTCAATTTTTTTCCTGTTCAAAAATACCATCATCCGTTCGCATTATTTGTCTGTTGGATCGTTGTTAAAACAGTACTCTGTAATAATATTTTTAAGAGAATTACACGATGTTTTAAATTATCAACGAGTTCGTTATATATATTCCAACAACCGGAAACGTCGCGCGCAATCGCAATACCTGACCGTACAACATGTGTAGTTGAAATTGGCCATTCGAAGACGACGGGATGAAAATTAGTAAGAATTTCTATATCGATTCCGAATAGCGCTTAAGCGATTGCGCTTGCGAAGTGTGTAAGAGTGTAACAGCCCAAATGAATATACACGTGGAGGTACCGAAGAACGCTAAGCAAAACCTGTAGCTCGGCGAGAGGTTACACGACCACCATAATTCCAACGAAAAACACGTTGCCGGTCGAACTCCGTGCAAAAAATATCAACTGCGAATGTTTTCTTTTCGTTTTACAGTTAAACATTTTGAGTTGTAGAAGTGATTTATGTTAATAACTTCAGCTCGCAATACACAACTTGAGTTGGTATTTAAAAATATCGGTACTGAGCACACGCTGTATTGTTATTAGCGCGGGATACTGATCAAGTGTTCGGAAGTCACCAAGATAAAACTTATTGTTAGAGCGTGCGGTCCGTACAACCCCCATTACTGGGGATGCTGGACCGAGGGAGAACCGAGGAACGGTATGACGAGAGGTGGCACGACCACCACAATAGGATGCGATAGGTTCGCGGACCGAACGAAACTCATCAAGAGGATATTCTGTTATTGCTATTATTACTACCTTCGAGCGGGGGGGAGGGGGGAGACCCGGTGACCTACTGCTATATACAGCAGCAATCTGAACGGCGTACGTATACATGTATATATTAAGTTTATATGTACAATGTAATGCAGTGTGCTGCGTGTATGTAGTTTCTTCTACTGTTTTTTTTTTTTTTTTTTACCCATTTCACCGGTTGTCCAATCGAATTCGCCTTGCCCACACGCGAGCGCGCGCCCGCACGACAGCTCGCCGGCACGTTATTCAGTCAGTGTCCATTCCGCAACCGGTACTGCCGCCGACACACCGCGGTATTCGCCAATAAATCCGAAGCCGCTACAAACGTCGTAATCAGTTCGCGCGCAAACCTCTCCGTGTGTCCTCCGCCCGGTCAGCCGCCGTCGCGTGCACAATAAACCGTCGTTGACATCGTACCCGTGAGTATTATTATTTTTATTATTATTTTTTTTATTACATTTTTTTTTTTTTTTTTTTTTTTTGACGATATTTACGTACTGCACCCCATATGTTCAGGTGGTCAAACTATATTCTCCGTGGTTAACGCGCCACCGCGAGTGTTATGAAAACGGTATCGATAGGAACAACGTTGACGGTATACCGACACTAAAGGCACTAAATTGTATTACTAATCGTTTTTGGTCGTTTCGACCAGGATCGCGTGCGAAACACTGTCCTAGGGGGACACTTTTTTTTTTCTCTCCTCCCCGTCAATACGCGATTGTGGTCTCCGGCCACCCGTACTTTATACTGTTTCGGACGGTCAAATCACATTTGTTTGGAACATTATATTTCCTTAAAAAATACACGCGCATGCTTATAGGGATTTTCCGAATTCCCTCTGAACCGTTGTCGATCACACGCTTATAGAACCGTACGATTCTGATTACCGAAAAACTTTTCAGCGTAGGCCGTGTAATTATTATGCCGCAGTCTTTAACTTCTAGTCGAAACACCGTCGAGTCTCGCGATAATGTTATCGCGGTGCGTATGTCTGCCGGCCACCATCACCGTGTCCGATAACTGAACGTTCTAATTAATTTAAGCGGCGACGACGACAACGTCGTCAGGCATCGAAACCCGTAATAACATTATAATATTTTATAAAATGCGTAGCAATTACATGTTCGAGTGAGATCAAAATATCGATGAAATTGATTAATTTATATCGCGATACGCAATACGAGTTCAATGGAGCTGTTTTTATTTTCGAAAATTAAATCAAATACACTAAACCGTTCTCAATTAACGATTGAAATGCAACGATGAGATGACAAAATAATGTAAAATTACGTGTCATGATCCGCATCAAAGATTATCATATACTGTCTGTTTAAGCGTTGTACCCATCGATGCGTGTAAAATAATCTGAAAGTGTTAGTTTAATGCGGTATGCTTATGTAAACAATTAGATGCAATCGCATGAAATTTACGATTAAAATAATTTCACTCGAAAATATATCAATAATGTATCTGTTTGATATTCATGTTCTTTTTTAAAAAAAAAAAAAATAATAATTTTTATTTGGTATTTTGTATAATAATCGATATATATATATATATAATATTGTAAATAAACGAATAATTAAGGAATAAATATAAGTAAACCTATATATTAGAGTAGTGTGGACTTTTTTACTAAAACCAAAGTGCACAAGTGTTTAACTAAATTAACTTGGATTTTTAAACAGTAAAAAAACTAATGTTTTGTCTATGATATGTTTCTTTTTTTCCCGAAAACTCTTTTTGTAACAGTAAAAGTGTTCCAATTGTTTTTCACTATTCTATCTATAAATTAGAAATCAAAAACAAATTAAACCTTAGAGAGTTAATTTTTTTTTTATCTATATTCATCCCCCAATAGTTATAAAAAAAACCACTTTTGAAATGAAATGCAAAAAATCTGTCTATTTGATTTAATTATTAGACACGTAATTTTAACGAATTAATTATTTTTAGTAAAATTATTAAATATATCAGTAATGATACAACCTAGGGTCGTACCGAGCCGAGTAAAGCGATGAGACGTGTGCTTTCAACATTAACTTTGTGTATGTTTCTGTTAATTTATTTAAAAATGTATAGCAATCATTTTCAATTTATAAATCCAGCACGATCATCTAAATGTTTTTGATTACGAATAAGAACCAAAATAATAGTTTTCTTTTACATTGTTATGTTTGAAATTTTAATTCATTAACACGGTATATGATGTAAAGTTATACAACACGTTTCCCACAGACAAAAAACATTATACCTATTAAAATTAAATGAATTTACTGTTATACTTATCTTCGTACTCGAAAATTATTAAAAGTTTAATAATGTATTATAAAATGCATGATTATCCAATTTTTTTTTTATATTTTAAAAATAATAAAAACTAATGAATCAATAATTCATATAAAATGTATTCGATTGTAATGTTTGTAATAAAATAAACGTACACTTATGAGTAATTATACATATATATATATATGTATTTATGTATAGTTAGAAGTTATAAAAAAAATAAACTTTTTAAAATAACTGATGAGTATTTTAATAATACAATCATTTTATTATGAAAAAAAAAAATGTAATAGTAACTGAAATGCTGTAACGTTTCGTTTAGTGATTCCCGTTATAACATATGAGCACAGACACGACACGACAAATAAACGCGAAAAGAAAATGAAACGGATCTTCTATATTTGATGCGAATTAAAAAAAAAAAAAATACGTAACTAAATTCTATCTGTCAATTGTATTTTTATTATTTTGTATTTTTTTTAGTTTATAATAATATAACATACTATGTTATGCTCAAAACGCAAAATAATTTGCGTATATTATTATACGAAAATAATCTAATAGCCACGTTTGTAAATATATACATGTCATCATACAAGCATATCATCGAAGAAAAATTTGTTATTGGATCACAAATATGACGTAGAGGAATAGGTATATTGAACACACCAGTCGCAATCGATCGGAACTATTTTCTTCGTGACCTCATACAGGGACTTTCTTGTACTTTTAGCGCACGCATTCATTTGTGCATTATTAAGCATTCTTATTATTGTCTGTTCATTGCGGAATTGCAAATCTTGAAGTACGTCATTAATAACATACGATTCTTAATTTCAATAGCCAATTAAACGCGTATACACAATTAATATTGACATCTGTTAATAAAATGATGAAAAATGTATTTGATTGTATATTATATTAACGGTGTCATATGTGTGAGTACGTGATATCTCTTATATCTATAGAAAATTAATTAATGGCTTTAAAAAATAACGGATGGTATTATAAAAAATAAGTTGTCAAAAAAAACTTTTAACAAATTTTATGGAAATGACACACACACACACACACACACACACACACATCTGTAGAAGCAAACTGAAACCATAGCGAAACTTGTTAGACTTGCATTGTTTTTGAGAGCTAGTCAATATATATTAATATTCATCGACACGTCGAGACCGTTATAACGCACGTCCGCTCTCAGTATTCCAATCAGGGATCACTTCAATAGCGATATATAAAATAATAATATTCACTTTGACCGTGTTCATCATCAAGATTTGTTTGAAACAATTTCAAGTTCATTGTCCCCAATGTATACGCGTATTTACAGGTAGTTTGGCAAAAAAAAAAAACTAGAAAACAAACGACCTTGCTGTGTGATATTTCGACAGAAGTAAACGTCAAAATACTTATTTTTCAAACGTTTCGAAAAGTCCACATGTTAAAATACCGTATAGATTAGTTATTAGATCATGAAATCGCAGTAGCCGAGCAAAAAAGTAAATTTTTGCTTACAATTACCTACCTATGAATATAAAAAACGCAGAGAGTATGGACGAACATCTGCGGATTACCAAGTAAAACGGTTTTCGTACACGAACAAACTTGTACAGAAACGAAATGGTGGAAAGATTAATCGATTAAAATAATATATTCCACACCCGTTCCAAGCGGTCAACGTCGGGAGTAAATTGTACACAATAAACGGCCAATAATACCCGTTTTATCTTATTCCACTGGATGATATAGATTTAGCGTGCGACGAGCAAACTATCCGCGGACATATAAGTATATGTTTAGACGTATAAATTAAATAAAAGTGAAAACGATTCGCTTGACCAAACAACGAATTTCTGGCCCCCATTAATAGATATTTGTCCGTGAAAAAAAAAAAACTTTATTGTGACGTAGAGAGCCGTTGGTACGTGGAATTACGTTAAAACCATAATTAAATATTAAATTATATGGTGTGTATTATGTCTCGACGCGTTTCCAATAGTGTTTTTTTTTTTCGCGGTGGTCCATATTTTCTTATCGTATTCAAGAATTTTTCCGACCGAACCAAATGTTTAGAGCCAGGAGGCCATCTAATTTCTAACGGTCGTGATGCATATATTTTTTCAACGTTCCAGCGATAAATGTGTGCGTGTGTGTGTGTGTGTGTGTGTTGGTAACCTATCGTGATCGACCTGTGCTATGTTTTACGTCCCATTGTTTTACTGCTGTGACCAACTAAAGCAGTAAACCTTTCTGCGGATAATCAAATTCACTATGGTTGGCGCTAAAGCCCATCTTGCACGTGTATACAATAATATTCAAACGACAAACGGTACGACGTGTGAGAAACAAGGCATCGCCATCAAGGTATGTTATGATCGCGGCAGTATTTTAGTTCGTTCTGCAAACGATGCTCACGAATTCCCAATTTTTTATAATGTAAGTGAAGTGTATTTTCCATTTTTTTCCAACCTTCTTAAACGATTTTCTTTAGTTCATTTTCTCCTGCTCGTTTTCCTAGAATAAAATAACAATTTAAAATATCCCCCGTTGGAAAATAGTATTTACGTATCAGAGTTGGGCAAAAACAAATCAAAATAAAGAATAAAAAATAAAAGCATGAATAACTAATTTGTTTACGAATAAAGAATAAATGTATTCGTTAAAATCATGAATGATATTAGTTAAATAATGATATTAAATATAAAAGTATATTTAATTTATTTTTGTCAATTAATATACGTATTAATATGCATTACATTCATATATATTATTTAAGTCTAAATAATAAGTTTATTATTATTATACATCGTTATTTAGGATTTAAATTTATTATTTATATGATTATAGGGAATAATGAATAACGAATAATAATACAAATTAAAATAATGAATAAAAATAAAAAATCAATAATAAATCAATGAAAAATAATTTTTTATTCAAATAATCAATCGAATAATATTTTATTCGACTTATGCCCAACTCTGTTACGTATACGCGTATAAATAGTGTTTAAGCCATTTATTCGACGTACAGAGTTCGATAAAAGAGTATAAAACTCTGAAGTACTTTTTATTTCTTTGTAAGATAATAATATAATAACTCAGTTCGCCAAAGCACCAATTATGTAGGGATATGGTTTTTAAAAAATATAATTTGAAAATATTATACATCCGTACCCGTGGAAGGAAAAACCGTTTATGGGGATTTTAAAGTATACCATAAATTTGCTATTGAAACGTGCACGTAAACCTATGCATAATATTTATATAAATACTACATAAATACTCGAATTCTCATGAAAAATAATATTCCGAATATATTACATTAACAGTATTCGAAATACATTGTTACGTGTACAATACGAACACGAATACTTTGTAAACATTTTTTTATGAGATGTACCTACATGTATATTTTATTAGTATAATTATCTTCTCGTTGTTGCTGGTTCGTTGGCTGTTGCCACAAAATTGGAAAATAACAATATCGTCCCACTACGTGGTAAAAGAAAACAAAATTACATTATACTACTGCAATTTATTATGTACCGATTTATATTTGAGTACAAATACAAGTTATACGACGAAAAAATTGCGAAATAATTTAAAAATAGATGATTGAACGTTAAAAACGTATTCGGAACACTTGTAAGCTTATTTAAAATGCTATATTAATTACTTAAAAAAAAAAAAAAAAAAAAAAGTATTTCAAAAGTATTTAGAAATACCCAAAAAAATATTTTCAATACGGTACTCGGTGTTTCAGTACTGCATTCGGAATACTATCCAAATCCGATAATTAATAACGTTCGCACGCGCGCGTTAATAAACAAATTGCTATACGTTTTCCCGACGAATCGAGATCATTATCCATCGCGCTGTATTATGATAATTATCATGAGATGCTGGGTCGTAAAAAAATAAACATCGTTAATGAGGTCCGTACGCGATTGAATCGAACACGGGCGTTTCGACGTGCACGCCTTTATTACGACCGTGTTTAGGTATAGTAACACATGTATAATTACGCATTTTTTGGCAACATCAACGTGTGCTATTATATCCCAACGGTCGTGTGGACAACTAACCGTACGAATAACAAGTTGTTATCCTCGCACAAGGTACGAGGATAACAATAATTATTAGGTACGGCCTCTTCCCGGTTTCCTGCAGCGAACGCGTTTAGCCGTGTTGCGTGTGATGGACCGCGAAGACGACACACGCCTGTTCGTCGGAGCTGGTAGCCCGAACACGGTAATTATAAAAATATCTCGATAACCGTAATACGCGAAAATATACCGCTCCGAACGCGGTTCGCACGCCCAGAGTCGACTTAATTATTTTTTTATTATTTTTTATTTATTTAAGCGTATTTTATCGGCGGCACTTGCAGCGGTACGCTGGAATCAGCATTGGTTTTCCACGTTTTTCAGTATTTCGTCGTAGAGGGGGGGGGGAGAGCCGATGGGTGGTACACATTATTGTACAAATTTTAGTACACCGAGTGTTGGAACTGGTTTGTGGACAGTTTTCAGTCCGTGTAACCTTTCTCGTAGTAATATCGTGGAAGGGGTTTTCAGAGTTTTTACGTGTGTATATAATACATTATCGACGTGGATGTCTTAAATTATATTACAGAATAAAAGACGTTGAAAAAAATAAAAAACAATATTTTTTTTTTAATTACTTATGTAAAAAAAATTGTGTTGAAACAAATTCACTCTGCCGCTGACGAACGCAGAATAAAGCGAACAGACGGTTTCAAGCTGTAGTTTCGAATCGTGTGTAAGCGTTTGTAATAAACATGAATATTCCCAGGACAATGGACCGAAAGCCCTCCAAAATGTGTACACATGTTTTCCGTTTACATGTATTCGTGTACATAAACAAGCGTGTACATGAGCAGGCGTGTACACGAGCAGGCGTGTACACAAGCAGGCGTGTATTACTCTCGAATCGATTTCGAAAATATAAAAAAAAAATTTAAATTAACCGTCATAAATAAAACGTATGGAGGGGTAGATATTAAGATATTACATTCGACAAACTGGCTGGCACTCGGGCGCGCAACACACTTCTTTTTTGGTTTTTTTTCTATTTATAGTGGAATTAGTATGTCTGTACCGGTCTAACCGTGAGGTAAGTCTCTCGTACAACATTCGCTTAGGCAACAAACGATCGTCTGCTTGTCTCCCTGTTGGGAAATTCTCGGTTGAACAGTCATTTTACTGTTTTTTTTTTTTTTTTGTATTTAATAATAATTTCACATACAACGATTACATTTTTATAACGTTAAATATTTTAATTATAAAAAAAATATAAAATATATATTTTTCTCAGAAAATTAAGCGATTTGTTAACTCAAAATTAGTACTATCGTGAATGCGATCTAAACCGTAAATATTGATGATAATATTGTTGACAGCTCATTTTTCGTTTTTTTTTTTCATTCGTCTTTATTGCCGATATTGTTTTTGCCGAAGTTTACTAATTTCTACAATATCTTATTGTTTTTTTCAGATAGTTTGCTTTTTTTTTTTTTTTTTTGGCCGACAACAACTACACAGGATACGGTTAACTGTCCAGCAATGATGAGAGCTGCAAAAAAGTCTACATCGTATTGTAATAGATAACAACTATCATTAATACAACAGGTGAGATAACTAATAATAGATTCTTATATATTTTTTTTTCAATTGTTCAGATTTTCAATTAATATGATGTTTTATCTTCCACTTTACCCCTTCCACCAGTTTCTAAATGGTTTTCATATCATTATAACGAAACAAATTTTTATAACCAAACGGGTGTGTATCGCATGCTGTATATATAATATTTATACGCTCGTGCGTGGACTATTACAACAATTATTATTACTGCTAGTCGTATAAAAAAACGTCTCAAATGCAGTTATACTAAACGCCGCCTGGTATTAGATTAACTTGGGATCAGTTTTTTATCGTTTCAATCGTTGTTAATGTGCTGTACAAATCTTGTCGCATTACTCGTCAGGTACTTCACACAAATTCTAAATAGGGTTTACAACGTCGCGATGCGGAATATAATTTTTGCAGCACTAACATATTATTATATTACACGCGTGCGCGTTTGAAAAGGTAATCTCTAGGTAGACATGTGTTATTATTTATGTTGGATCGAAGTAATACACGGAGTAATGATGGACGTTTTCGTAACCGCGAAGTGCACACGAAAAACAGTAACCACGGACGTGTATTATTATATCGTATCATTGATTAAATACACGTATATTTAATTAATGATCGTGCATGCGAATAAAACCGTTTTATCGGGTCGTTTTGAAAGTCAAAATTATTCATTTTGAAACAAATCGAATACAATTTGATGTAACTGACATTCTAGTTTCTTATTTTTCGTTCAGTTGTTCGATAGTCGATTTTTTTAAAGTATGTGTACATTGGAAACACAATGTTTCGACGAGGGACCCGAAACACTAAAAAGTGCGGTGAATGTTGAAATAATTATTCTATCTGGTCCATTTTTTTTTTTTTTTTCGTTCTATTGTCGCGACGATGTACGGTATCAGAATACTCGGCTGATGGAATGGTAGCAATAAAATACATCAGTGGACATCGTAACAAGTTGGGAACGAATTAAACGCGTTAATTTGCATAAATCCGCTCCGTTTTCACGTCCGCTAATGATCAGTGTTCGATAAGCAGCAGTAGTGCAGCGATTCCCTCTCAGTCGTCCGGTTTCGCAATGCACAATATGCTCGGTGTACGTTTTAAACGCGTGCAAACGATACGTGCAGGCACCTCTGCAAAGTGTCCGGTGCGTCGCAGCGGTCTCGGTCGGCCGGACACGAAGGAAAAAGTAGGGGCTCAAACTCCTTCCCACGCATTCCACCGCGGTGTGTCCCCCGGGAAGTGGTCTTATAAGAGTCCGATGATGTTTGACAATTTAATAACCGCACGCGATTGTCTGGCAACGTTGCGATCGTGAAATTGCGGTCCGATCGACGACTAAACGATAGTATAATAAAATTACAACGGGTTCAAATCGGAACGTTTAACCATTGCAAGACGTTGGGGTTTCGCCGAAATACTCGGCGTACCGGCCGTGTTATCGTTTTGCTGTTATCACCTCCGACGCGTAAATAATATTATTATTCAACGACGCGTGGGCACATACATCCGGTCCCGTTGTATAATATCTTAAGTGTATCTTAAAGAGATTATGGTTGATGCACTCTCCGTCGCCGGACTGTATGTTGACCCCATCGGCGCCGGGACCGGTTCTACTTGTGTGACTGTAATGCGTGCGCGCGCGATGATTAAAAAACCTTAACACGTGGCGAGTCCGAAACGGGTGTAGGAGTGTGAAAAAAAAACTGTCGATTTTCAAAATATTCCGTTTTTTTCCAGAGATAACCGTACAGGCCAACTTCATCTAACGGTGCTTATCGTATCCTTTACTTTTAAGCATTTCCTCTTCGCTCATTGCGGTTTTACTCTCACGCTCACACAATACGTAATAATTACAATATGAGCGCTTACACGCATCCACCGTGTATACAAACTCTTAAAAAATGCAGGTATTTCGTGTTTTGAATAATAGGAAACAGTTTCCATGCGAGGAAAAACTGTTATGAAGTCCGAACCATGCTAATGCTCGGCATAATATTCGTAACTTGATTCCAATACAAATTATCACTGAAAATACATTATTGTTTATATTACATTACACTCCAGTGATACGCGTATAATGATAAAATAATATTACATTATTATTATATTGTTCTGAGCGCGCGGTGTGCCAAATATGCTGTTTAACACTGGCAGACAATTCCGATATCGGCTTGTATTTCTAAACATATTTTATTCACAAATTTTATTTATAAATAGGTATACACTTATACGCATTTCCTTCCATCTAATTGTTCTTCGTCCGTAGTCTAATCTGTTCAGATCAAATCGATTAAATGTATTATTAAGTGTACAACTGCACTGTACGCGAATCAGTTTTTATTATTTTTATTTTAGTACCGTCAAAAGAGGATTACGAAGAGAAAAATAAATGTATATATATATAGAAGTCACAAAGACAATAATAATACTAATATACATTGTATAATTATATATATATAAAATACAATTCTAATGAGAAATGTAATTAATAAAATATTTTGAAAATTTATTAACTCATGTGTCTCCTAAATTGGTTACACTTGTTCATTACAACTGGATTAGTTTCTTTCCAAACTCCATTTAATCATCGTTACATAGTGGTATCTTAAAGGAATAAACAATTATATGCTCCAAAGTTTATGTGATTGTATAGTTCGTAAAACCATTCGTAAACAAAGTTTGATGCACTCACTGTGATTGTTTTTGATATTAATTAGAACTCACAACCGGATGCAAAAAAACCGTGTATTATATTCTCTTATGCTTTTGATTGTTATTAAAAATATTGTTGATGAAAAGTAACTACACAAGTCTGTTCCGGTATTTGGAATCGTATAATTGTAATTAAATTAATCAAAGCCAAGTTGTAGAAAGTTATACATACATATGCTCACATCGTATTATTTACACAGAAATAGTTAAAAAAAAAAAAAAAATTATTTCGAATCATTAAAACGTACACCAATAACAATTATTTTACTATTATTAACTGCATTAGTACTAATATAACCTAATTATTAAGAACCCGAGACGCTAAAGGCTTGTTTTCTAATAGTAATCAAACAGAAAATAACAAAAAGTAAAATGTAAGTTACGTGAAACGGAATTACAATTTATACACTTTTGTTTCGATTTGAATTGGTAAATTGCATTATGTATTATATATATATATTAATTCATAAAACAGTATCGCAGCGTGGTATTTTTTCATTATTGGTCTGTTCACATTATAATATTAAGACGACATATTCGGGCATATCAACAAAAGTATTCATTGATTCTATCACGGTAAAAACTGTATTCTTTAAATCACATAAGACAATTAATACATTTTATTTTTACGGAGATCTGATAGGTTATATATTATATTTTTGATTATATTCCCCTTTAAAACATTTAATATAATAGCTGTCAAAATATTATCAGTTTTCTTTCGAGGAGAAACTAAAAAAAAAAAAAAAAAAAAAAAAAAAAAAAACGAGAATGTAAAAATAACAAAAACGTCGACAGGCGATACATAACTATGTATATTATTATTGCCAATTATTCGATGTACTCGTACATATTCAGACATATAATTTTCTCAATATAGTTCGATTTTTTTATGAAGTTGCAGATATATATTATTTTCGTTGCGGTAACAGAAGATTAGACAGTTACACCTATATCGTGTTCGATTTAAAACAGCAGTTAGATGTATTTATAATTAAATCAAAATGTTCGGTAATTATTCTACATTTAAAACTGTAGCCTTAATTAAATTATATGATTGAACGACTATATATATATATATATATATATGAGTATGCATGTGTGTGTGTGTGTGCAAGTGTATGTATGTATATGATTTTAAATAATTATTAAAGACGTTCGTTTAAACTTAATTTTCCGAGCTAATAAGTAGTAGCGTGTGTTTGTAATTCAAACTATTGATGATGTTTTCTAAAACAGTTTGAAATTAATTATGTTTAAAATTAAGTACGGTGTATTAGGTACATAGTTAATTTAAAAACAAGTCTAATTATTGAAATTTGCTATACTGTGGTAATGAAGCTTGTTTGAATGCATCTGTCGAAATAAAAATTGTATTTGGATATAAACACGCTAACGAAAAATCTTGAGTTGGCTTACAAATTAGATATTCCCAGATATTTAACATAATTAATATTTAGACTTCGTACGTTCAAAAATTAAGTATTAATAACAATTATAGAACTGTTAATACTCAATGATTGTGTTCAAAATATTTTTATTGTTGAAAAGTGACGAACACAATAAAAATCATTATCATCAGATTACTTAAGTATTTTTTTTCTTATATCTTATACCGTTATACCTAGGTAGCTCTTCATATTTGAACTTCAAAATAAATAACCTCAAGGTTCATATAATTCTAAGAATAATAATATAATTGGTTAATTTTTCTTCTTAAATAATATAAGAATTAGAAATTAAAATGAAAAAAATTTATTAAAAATAAAGATTTCTTAGTCTCGAGTAAAGTCAAGGTTAATAATTTTAGTACAAAAGTTCTAAATTCTAACATATCTGGTGTAATGAATACACTTTTTTTCGATTCATTAGTTAAGAGAAAAGTTTTGAACTCCGTGGTGTTTTCCTCGTTGTACAGGATTCAGATTGCGACGATTTCAATACTTTTATTCTAATACTCAAACTTCAAACTTAAAATTTTAATAGAATTATTTTAAACTCATTAACAACAAATATTTTCAATGTTTCATTTTAACTTTTAAGGTGTTTTTTTTTATGATATAAATATACAAACGTTTGAGAAGATTCTTCTGGTTAGTAATAGCATAATATGTTTGTTATTATAAAGTGATATGTGAGGAGCGTTATTTGTTACCAGAAAAAATATTTGAAAAAAATAGACATATTTTTAATAATATCATAGTAAAGTTAAAATAATATCAAATTTATTAGAGTAGATCGAAGGAATCGTAGTGATTATCTGTCTCTGCCCA